TGCAATGTGAAACAGGAAAACGATAGATGAGTGCTGCTGCCGGTCGGCTTCGTCACCGCTTCCTCCACTCTCCGCTTGGCTCGTGCTTGCGCGCTCCGCCCATCGAACGGTCGTCGACAGTCTTAGTCATCTGGAAATACATTACACTAGGCTACCTGATACGGTATAAGAGAAGAGTATACTAGAGTGACACTAATTGGTCTGGTAAAGAAGCTTTAACCTAAGGGGTTTTTAGCCTGCCCTGGACGGACAAGTCCGTTCTCGGACGCTATGGTTTGGGTCGGACGGATTTGTCGAAAAGTGAAGGTTCGGCTGAGTGCCAATGACTGGCGCTCCTGGCATGATAGTAATAGAGCTCGCAACATTGAGTCAGTCATTAAGGAGCGACCCAGTGTTGTAGCCTTCACGAAAAAAACAAGACATACACACAAACACAGAGAACAAGACCTCACCGTGAGTGGCCTTAGCGCGTTTACGTGGACCGAAGCGCCGGTTTTATCCGATCCTGAAGCTTCATCCAGCAAACGCTTTTGGGCTTGTCTGGGTTGGCCGTTGTCGGCATTTGGTTGCCCTCCATCGAGGGTCCTACCTGGGCCGACCAGATGAGGAGGAGGCTCCCTGATGACTCGTAGGTGTGCTGACCACTGATGGAAGAGGTTGAGGGATGAGTCGATAGTAGGAAGAGAAGATGTTGCCAGTTTCTTAGTTGACTTGGATCTAGTAACATCTGATGACGGGTGAACGTCTAGACGCAGCTGATAGAAATAATGAGGAGGGGTGGCGGCTCTATATAGTTGGTGTCCAGGGAATGCCCTTTAAGCCTCTGCCATCAAGTGTTGAATCATTTGTGCTGAGAACGACGTGTTGGCATTCAAGTGTATGCTTGTCTCTTGACGTTGTTTTTAGAAAACGATGGGAAACCCTGCCTTTGTGCTCCAGATGTGTATATTGAGACAAAGTATCGCTTCACCCTCGCACCAGATTGCTCGCGCGATAAGAGTCATCGCAAATGCTATGCGGCCGTGGCATACTGTAACTGGTATTAGAGCATTGGCTGGGGAAGAAAAAATGATGGGAAAGTCGGAGAGAGAAGCGGCAAAATCCTTTGATTCGCAGAGTTCAAAATTGAAAAGAGTCACATTCGAGTCTTGACAAAGAATTGCGCGCGGAGCTGGAAGCCTTAGAAAAAGCCGAACATGCAGCTGCAATTTGAAAGAAATGAATCATTCCCGGGACGAAGCTATTTGAATGTTGGGAAGATCATAAAAAGCGAAAAAAGTGGTGGAAAAAAAAAAGGGGTGAATTGCGTCCTGACAGAATATTTACTGCTACGTATACTGCAAATAAAGTGGGATCCCTTCTCGTTGCCCTAGAACACTTGTCAGCGAGGTACCTGTTATTTTCACCGAATAACATCACTGCGCACTATGTGCAAGGGAGGCGTATTACCAAAACGAAACGAGCTCATAATGCAAGAGAAGTTGGCCAGACAGCTCCTGCGAACCCGCTTGCCCCCCGGTAGAGGCCTATACCGGTCATCTCGCGGGCTAGTCCCGGGAGGACACTTCTTCTAATAAGAGGAAAAGGTTCGGTGAAACGGGGGGTACTATGACGCCCCAACTCGCTGCTACCAGTAAAGGATCCGAATGTCCTCTTTCACTCGACCCTTCTCAATATCCACAAGGCCTCAGACGCGTCTATGCACAATACACCGATACAATAGAAACTTCATATTTGGTAACCACTGACACATAAGGGAACACGAATCACGTAACAGGGATACCTCGCTATTGCAATGTGAAACAGGAAAACGATAGATGAGTGCTGCTGCCGGTCGGCTTCGTCACCGCTTCCTCCACTCTCCGCTTGGCTCGTGCTTGCGCGCTCCGCCCATCGAACGGTCGTCGACAGTCTTAGTCATCTGGAAATACATTACACTAGGCTACCTGATACGGTATAAGAGAAGAGTATACTAGAGTGACACTAATTGGTCTGGTAAAGAAGCTTTAACCTAAGGGGTTTTTTGCCTGCCCTTACAATGGTGAGCGTCCTGGGGTGGTGAGCGGCGGTGATGGAAGAATGATTCGGTGACTCATGAGCCTAGGCCCACTTCTGGGCTCGAAGTGGGCTTTTTTCTCCGCCAGTTACGGTTTTCGTGGCTGGGCGTTGTATACGAACTTCGTGTTGGAGCGCAGTTTTGTCTCCTTGCGTCCGCGCCTTCATAATTGATCGCGTAACCGCGATACTCCCCGGCGCACGAAAGAAGGATCCCGGCGCGTATGAAATGATTCTCCGGCTCATGCGAAAGGCTAAAGGGTTCTCCGGCGCACAAAATAGACTGAAGGATCCTCTGGCACGTACGAAGGCTAAAGGAATGTCCAGCGTATATAAAACGTGAAAGGATTCTCTGGCGCATATAAATAGAGAGAAGTCAACGTAATTTTGATTGACTCGCTTATACTATCTTTTAATGTGACAATTACTGTTGTCGTTTCTTGAGCGCAATATAGAAAAACCTCTCTTTTTCTGTAGCCATATTAACTATAACGGTTGCTGTCATCGCTTTCTGAGCGTGAATCATTGGGTCTAACCCCGATGACGATTAGCTGCAGAGCTTTTTCAAGTCTTTTCAATTCTAACAAATATTGCCAACGCTCTTCCTTCGCCTGTTGCACTCTGCTCTGTATCTCTTCGCTATATTCTGGTAATGGGCAAATCGCTGAGTGATGGTCACGCGATTTGCAGTGGTGGCATCTAGTGGAAGTATTTACGACATGTGGAGCGGCCGCCAAGACTGTATCACTCCAGGCATCTTTCGCATCTTCCTTTGCTATCGCTCCGCAGAAAGCACAAGGCATATGATCGAAGTCTCTCGACGGGCACGTGGGCTGACTTAAGCTTTCCTATGAAATCGTCGAATCTTCGTATGGCTTCCATTTTAAGCTGTATTTCTTCTTCCATTCTATTCTAGCGCTCTGCCCGGGGGTCTTTGTCTTGATCGTCTTGGACATAAGCCTCGCTTTGCTCTGAATCGGTGCTCATTTCACTGTCTTCGTTGTCGTCCATTTCTACTCCGTCCATGTACGAGGCATTATCGTCAATGACCTCTTCGTCACGTCGCGCAGTGATAATGCTGTGCATAGCGTCTTCCTCGCGTTGTGCGATGCCTCGCTTCGAGCTGACAAGCGTATATCGTTGACTGTAGCTTGAAGGGTAGTCAGACCTTTCAGCTTATCGGCTGTTATGCGCTCGATATCTTCATGTTGCGTCGGAATCTCTTTGCCATCTTCTGTCTTGATTCACAAATGAATGAGAATTTCTCGAAAATGTGACTGCGTACAAGTCAAAATGAGTCACATTGCGTGGATCAATCTTTAAAATCAGATTTCTCTGAGGAAAGCAAGTGGGCTCGAACGCAGAAATGAATAATTATGTATGAGTGAGCCTTCAAAAATCAGACTTTTTGCGAGGAATCAAATGTGCACTTAAATTGAACAAAGGTTATGAATTCTTCTCTACAAACGGGCTATTCTTCACAAGCAAGCTGAAAAATTGGCCAACGACGTGTGAAACGGCTTGTATAACGGTGTTCTCTTCAGTTGGAGACTGCGCGCAACCAAAATGAACTAGTAGTGCGTTAATTTAGAACACAACCAAAATTTCTCAAAGGGGTGAAGGCGCACACTCAAAATTCAGCAAATAAACACCAATGTGTAATTTATCGTCCAATTGTCGGTGTTGTGGCTGCCGGAGTCCGGAGTCGTCCAGAGAATATTTATTAGGGAACAGCAGAAGAATAGAGAGAAGAATGAGTACAATACAAATGTGGCCCTTTTATAGGCCCAAGGCGCTTTCTAGAAAATGGCGGGCCGCTTCTTGAGCAGGCCACAGATCGTTGTGGGTGATCTGCGACCAACCCCAACAGTCGGAAACGTAGTCCAAATCGTACCTGTATACCAGCTTCGAATTGCCGATGCACCATAAAGAAGGTCGCACAGCTCAGCTGTGCACAGACAGACAAAATGATTTATCTCCAAATCCAACGAGTGTTCTCGATGTTTGGCAATCAAACAAACACATAGTTAGCAACGACTAGAACAGAACGGATATACGAATATAAAACAAAGAAGTGAACGTGTCCCCCGTCCTTCCTATATGCCCGGAGTCTCGATGTGGAGTCCTTGGACAGTGAGCGTCCTGGGGTGGTGAGCGGCGGCGATGGATGAATGATTCGGCGATTTATGGGCCTGGGCTGGAGCCATTTTTATGTCCTTGCGTCCACGCCTTCATAATTGATCGCGTAGCCGCGATAGGCGATGCGGCTGCAGCGGCTCAAATGTAGGGAAGGTCTGGTTGGCTTTGAAGACATTGACTGAAACGAACTCGACCACCCTACTGCTAGCTGCTTTTAAACTTTCCGCTGCGCCCGCCTGAAGTATAGCCTATAGTAGATCAGTAGATGGTGATCAAAGTATTGAACTTAGAAACTCTCGCTTTAACAATTTACCTTTTCTGGCAGGCAGCTAGAGCTCGGGCAACAAGTCACTGACCCACTGCAGAGAGAGAGTGCTTGACAGTACACACGAGTAATAGTGATATCATCCCTTTATTTCATCAGGAAATCAAAGACGATCACCTATCAACATTCCCATTCGTGTCAATCTTCGCTCTGGAGTAGTCGCCTCTTGCATACCAACACCTTAGCAAATATACAGACCTATGAGCACTCTAAAAGCCTCGTGCAATTCCTTTGGGTCCATCAGAGGAGTACTAAATATTTAGATCTCTGGATGCTTTCATTTGGGATTCTACTCGACTGGAATTTGAAGCAGCTAGACACTGCGTGTTGCGAACAAGGTGTGTGCATTCCCATTCCTTTTTTTACAACTTTTTTCAAACCGTGACATCTCAGAGGTGCGTTGTTTGGGCGCAGTGCCTATGGAGTTGGATTGCAAAAGAACAGTCCATGGACGCCACACATAACATCTGCCATTCTGAGGATGGCTGAGAGTGAGTCTGTTAGAATTGTGATTGGTGAACCCTGAAAAGCTCTGACCATCAAAACCAGGGCACATCATCGCGCAGAAATCCCTTGCCAAATCTTTCTCGGCTCCGCGAAAAACTTGCCAGCGAGAGGACGCGTCGCGTGCTTACATAGCGATAGCGCGTCTAAAAGGAAGCAAAAATCATCGCTGGCGCTGTTACGCGGCTGTATTAAGACAATGAGCATTTTGGCTCTTAGCCGGTGAATAGTAAATGATAAAGGGGGACAAGAAGTAATGAATGATAGCTGGTCCACAGCAGTAGAACACGGAAGGCAGCTGTAAAGCATATCTAAAGAGTTGGCGAAACAATGCCTTAATGCCGATTCCACTGTGATTAACATCCTTCAAATCGCAGTGATGGCAGCGCCTGTCAGTGTCCAGTCCTTCACCGCAACATCTCTCGGCACGCACCGCATGTACTTCAGCAGCCAGTTTTTTCTTTCCCTCCCCTGAGGCTAACCCACGTCTGACCCTCCTCCACCCCCGAATTTTTGTCCTACTTCGATGCAACCCTATCCGAATTCACCTCCCTTCTCGCAGGCAGGCAATATTTTGCGGTGGCGGTGAGATGATACTTTAACCGCGCCCCACCTAAAAGGGTCTCGGTACGACACCCCCCCCCCCCACCCTCCTCCACCCGAAACCTACACAAGGATTTCCTTTGAGCTAGGGGGGGGGGTACATAGCCATTGTCAAACGGGGAAGATTTCTTCGGATTTTCTCCAACTCCCGCCCACTTTTTTCGAAGCCGGAGAATTTCCCTATTTTTGCTCAAAAATTTTGCTGTCGAGCGCGGGGGGGATCGTATAGTGCACATGAAACAGGAAAAAATTACGGGAAAAGTCAGCAACCGAGAAAAAGTTTTCTCCCAACGCAGCAAATTTTATCTCAAAAGCATAAGACCCTCCCCCCTTCCCACCAAAAGAAACGACATCAATATGTTTTTTAAGCTGTTTTGTTATTACAACTGCTGTTTACGCCACGCCGCAGTTCGCGTTCCGAATGTTATCACAAGAATGCTGAGATGGGCAAAAGTCGTGCCCCAGGCGGGAGTCGAACCCGCACCTCACGCTTTCCGGGCGAGTGCGCTATCCGTTACGCCACCAGGGCCGCTTTTACCCTCTCAGCTTAACGGCTTTTATGCCGTAGCCTTACAGCACTCGCCTGGGGCACGACTTTTGCCCATAACTCAGCATTCTTGTGATGAACTCAATATGTGTTTCACACAACGATGCTGTACCCTGTGAAGGAATGGGGTTTATGGGTTTCGCAAAAAGTGGAATCGAAATGAATTTCACTTGATATCAAATACGACCCCTTTCCGCCGCGACAAGTACGACCTCGACCTCTGTTATAATTTGCACATCGATGCGTCGTGATTAGAATGCTCCGTAACTCGTTCAAAAAAAATTCATGGGAAGCCGTTGAAAAGTGCTCTATCCTAGGCGGAGTGATGGAGAATTTGGACTCCAAGTGGATCGACAATCGGGAGTCAAAATGCGTAGCTGAAGTTCATAAATCTCCTGCGCGGCTCAGTCTCTGGAACATGCGAGTAAGCTTTGGTCTTTCGCGTCACCTATATGCACTCCTTAATAACGGGAATGCTCATGTGAACGGTGTCTTGTTGCGAAAATATCCTAGTGTTGACTGTTTCAGGATGTATTTATCCTTGTCACTGGCGGCGTGGCAGCTGGAGCACTCTTCAGCACTATCGAAGTGACCTACGGTAGGAGAAAGCGAGA